CTCAGGGCGGTGCTGGTCGTGGTCGTGGTCGTGGTCGTGGTCGTGGTCGTGGTCGTCGTGGTCGTCGTGGTCGTCGTCGTCGTCGTCGTCGTCGTCGTCGTCGTCGTGGTCGTCGTCGTCGTCGTCGTCGTCGTCGTCGTCGTCGTCGTCTTTCTTCTGCGCGTGCCCGAGAGGCACTTTGCGGCCGTGCAGGCGCTGGCCCTCGGCGAGGACGCGCCCGAGGAGACGGTGGACATGCTCCAGCCTGACGAGGGCGCGCTGAGGGAGAAGGCGCCGCTGTTGCAGGCCTGGCGCCGGGAGCTGGACGCGGCCAGCGCGGCCGCGCCCGCGCCCTCCAAGAGGGCTGCCCCCGCTGGGCTGGAGGACCGGGCGCCTGCAGATGGCACCTACTCAGACACGCTCGCGTGGATACATGAAAAGAGCAGCGCGAGATTTTATGCAGTTGTTCGGCCTCTGGGGGTTCTCGCTGGGCCTCGGGGCCGTCAGAAAACACCTCGGGATGAAAAACCAGCCCCATCGGCCAGAGCGTCAATGAATTTAACATGCTGAAGCCACACTTTTCCGGCTGCAGCTTTCAACAGCAGGCGTCCGGATGCCCGCCACGAAGTGTGACGCCGCCCCGTGATGGTCCCGACAGCTCTCGTGCCGCTAGCGATGCGATGCGATGAAAAACCAGCCCTGGGGCACGAGTCGGGACATCTTGGGATACCGTATCAAAAAAACAGGAGGAGGAGCAGGAGGAGCAGGAGGAGGAGGAGGGGGAGGGGGAGCAGCAGGATGATGATGATGATGATGATGATGATGATGATGATGATTATGATGAAGATGATAGACGATGATGATGATGATGATGATGATTGATGCTTGCTGCTGCTATCTGCTGTGCTGCTGCTGAGATGAGAGGAATTATGATGATGATTGATGATGGATGATGAGATGATGATGATGATGCTGATTATGATGATGAATGATTATGATGTGATGATGTGTGATTGAGGATGATGAGGAGTAGGAGATGAGGAAGAGCAGGAGAGCGAAGGAGGAGGATGAAGGGGGAGGCGGGAGAGGAGCAGCAGACAAGGAGGAAAAATAAGGAGGAGGAGGAGGAGGAGGAGGAGATAGTAAGGAGGAGGGATGATGAAGGATGAGGAGAGGAGGAGCAGGAGGACGAGGAGGAAGGATGAGGGGGGAGGGGGATCCAGCATGAGACATGAGGCGGAGGAGAGAAGGAAGGAGGAGGAGGATATGAGGAGGAGGAGGTGAGATAGAGGAGGAGGAGGAGGAGAGCAGGAGGAGCAGGAGGAGCAAGGAGGAGGATGAGGGGGGAGGTGGGAAGGGAGGAGCAGGCATGGAGGAGGAGGGAAGGAGGAGGAGGAGGAGGAGGAGGAGGAGGAGGAGGAGGAAAATCGTCACTGTCGCATGTCTGGGCACCGGAGCCATTGCTCCGCGTGTCGCGCCGCCAGCTGTGAAGCGCCCGCCGCGCGTCGGCACGACCGTGCTCCGCCACGCGCGGCGTCTCCTCCTTCCCCGTGCGCGCTCCTCCCGCTCCCGGCTGTGCCCAATGAGGCTCTTTAGCATCTCCTTGGCGTCTGACGCGTTTCAGGAGGGGAACAAAGACACAGACACAAGTAATCTTCCATTCCCCCCAACAAATATATGGGAAAAGATGGGAAGTGGGGGGGAAGACAAAAACCCAGAAAATGTTGGAAATATGGGGAATCTTTTTACTTGTGTGTATTTATTTGTGTGTCCCAGGGCCCCTTCAGCGTTGGGCGCTTCATGGATGCGCTTGCGCAGCGCGAGCGAGGTGTCATGGTGTGGGCTGCGTGGAGCAGGGTGCGCCGAGGCGCCCCGGCGACCTGGGAGGTGCCCTCGGGGCGCCCGCGGCGAGCCCCATTGGTCGGCCAGTGGGCCTCGGGCCCTGCAGTGCTCCTCGGCTGCCTCGTCCGCTGCGGCCCACGAGCAGCGGCGGCGCGCCACGCGAGGCGCGCCCCGGTCCCCGGGCATCCACGGTCCGAGCCCTTCCCGCAGCCTCCCGCCCCGTGCAGAAGGCACCCGTCGGGGGCGGGGGCATGACCAGGGTGCCGATGTTTGCCACCGCGACCGCGCACAGTGCACAGTCAAAGCCGGCTCTGAGGATGTTTTTTTTCTCGCAAGGGCACCTTGCATCCTTCGGGTCTGGCCGTCCTTAGCATGTGTTCGGCTTGCCTGGATGCTGCATGGCCAGGGCCCCTTGCCCCTCGCATTCGCGGGGCTTTGAGCGTCTGCGCGTTTCTTGCATTTCAGCGCGTTCCAAGAGTCTTGCATCCTGTCACGAATGGGTACGGAAGTTGAGTGCCACCAGAGAGCAGGAATGGATGCGACAGATAATTCGATGGATTCCACATCATGATCCAGTGTTTAAAACGAGATGCAGGACGGGAAGGCCCCAAACCAGATGGATCGATCACATACGAAAGCATGCCAAGGACAATATGGGAGGTGCCGACACGAGTGCCGCAGCTATCCTTGATATTGCATCGAGAGATCCGTGGGACTGTATTGGATCCGTCACGCCACGTCGTGTGAGCATGCTGCGCGACTAGCTCATGTTTTCCGGCGCCCCGGCGCCGCACAACCGCAGAGCCCGAGATGGTGCCCATGCGCGGGGGTGCCCTGCCCTGTCCTGCCCTGCCCGCGTGGTCTGCCGCCGCTCCGCCGCATGGGACCCCCAGGAGTGTGCACGCTGCGCCTCGGGTGGAGGCCCGCCTGCCTCTCGGTGTGCCTCTGCGCGGCCCCCAGGCTGTTGCACACCACCGCCGTCCCTGTCCTCCTCTTCCTCCTCCTCCTCCTCCTCCTCCCCCCCTCCTCCTCCTCCTCCTCCTCCTCCTCCTCGTCCTCCTCCTCCTCCTCCTCCTCCTCTTCCTCCTCCTGTTCCTTCTCCTCCTCCTCCTCCTCCTCCTCTTCCTCTTGTTCCTCCTCCTCTTCCTCCTCTTCCTCCTCCTCTTCCTCCTCCTCCTCCTCCTGGCCAGGCACGGTGGTGGCGTATTTGTAGAGGTGCCGCCTGCGCAAGTCGGAGGCCTGCTGCCAGGGGTGGTCTCGGCCCAGGGCGCCAGCTCCTCGCGCCACTTTGGGGCCCCGGGAACGGCCCCATTCCGCTCCGAGGCGAGGATTTGTCCACGAGCACTGCCTGGGAGGCCTGTCTTCAGGGACCTCGGCAGGCGGTGGGTATGGATACGTTCGGCCTCCCCCGGCCAAGATATGCCTCCAGACATGCGATGTCCTGATGTTTTCACCACGCGGTCCCCAGACGTCCCGGCCCGTACTTTTCCCAGGGCCGATTTTAGTCATCCTGTTTTTTGACGGCCCCAGGGCCCAGTGCGGGCCCCCAGTGGCCCAGAGGCCGAACATTGAGAAAAGCCTCCGTCCTCCTCCTCCTCCTCCTCCTCCTCCTCCTCATCCTCCGTCATCCGTCCTCCTCCTCCTCCGTCCTCCGTCCTCCTCCTTCTCCCCCCTCCTACTCCTCCTCCTCCTCCTCCTTCTTCAGGAGGTTGCACGTCCTACTGGGGTCCCAGGACGTCGGCTCCACGTGCGGTGGATCATGTATAATCCTTGCCTTGCACCCACGGGCACCCTCGCAGGGCCCACGTCGATCCGATCGATCCGCTTCGCTACCGATTCTGGCCGGCTCGCTCCCGACATTGTCGAGACGATCGAGCCGATTCGGTATTGATCCTGGCCGTGTCGATCTCGCTCCGATTCGATATCGCTTCGGGCCGGCCCGGCCCGATTCGATACAGACTCCGACCCGAGGGCGAGGGGGCTCGTTTCGGTCAGGCTTCGGGCTGCACAGACGGCCCCCCCTCGCAGACCTAGAGGTTGACACCAACACCAAGATCGGCGGTGTGCCTCCACCGAGGGAAGACGATCCCGATCTCGGTGATGGTGGTAATATTCTGGCTTCCAAGGTGACCGAAATATTACCACCAACACCGAAATCGAGGAGCGTCTTTCCCATGTGGAGGCAACCCCCTGTGCTAGTGTGGGTGCCAATTTCCAGGCTTCCAACCCCCGGGTAGTCCCGGCTGGCCTCACCCACAGGCGTGGCCGCGTCGTGGCAAGCATCACGACGGAAGGCTTTCGGCTATTTTCGTCCTCCGGGGGCCGTCGCCGGGCTCCAGGACCTGCAGACAATGCTTCGGGAGGAAACGCTGGGGAGTGCAGTCGACCCGCATGGTAAGGATCGGCCACCTTCCCAAGGGTACCCATGCATCCTTGCCTCCTCGGTCCACCATCCTTGGCCACTTTCGTTGGCCGCGCCCCGTTCGCAAAGCTTCGGGATGGCCTTCCAAGGCCCTTGCATCCTTACCGCGCGTCTTTCTGATCGTTTTTTATTAATTGTTTTGCCGATCGGCACGGGCCCCCCACCCCATGGAGTAGATCTTGGCTGTTGTTGGCGCCTGTTTCGAGCAGGTGGAGCCTCCCCCAGAGGACGCACTGTCCCAAACAATCGCACCAAGCAGAGGCCTGGAGCCAGACCCTCTCCCCCCCCCTTTCTGCCCGATGTCGAAACGCCGCATCAGAACACGTTGACCTTGTGATACGGGCCGACTGTTGATCGAAGTCGGGCCTGTCCTTCTACAGGGGGAATATTTTTCAAAAATAGAAAAGTCAGGGGGCGATTTTTTGATCATTTTTGGGCATTTTTGGGGTACTTCTTGAGTATTCCTATTTTTCCGTCCAAAATCCCCCTGTAGGGGGACAGGCCCGACTCGACTGCAGATCCAGCTGGCCTCCTTCGGCCCCCCACTCTTTGTCCAGGCCGGGGCCCCAGCACCCGGGCGCTGCCTCCCTCCAGCGGCGCCCCTCGGGCGCCCCGCGCCCCGGGGCCGAGGTACACGCTGAGACTGCCCGGGGATACTCGGGGGGCCTACCCCTAAGGGGGCTCTCTCTCTGCCCCACTCTCTCTCTCTCTCTCTCTCTCTCGGAGGAGGAGGAGGAGGAGGAGGAGGAGGAGGAGGAGGAGGAGGAGGAGGAGGAGGAGGAGGAGGAGGAAAAGGTACCCATACCCCTGACCTTCGCCCGTCTTCCCCCTCTTGCGGGCCTCCTGGGAGGCCCTCGTCGCCACCGCTGGATTCGCCTCGAAATCCTGGTCAGAACGCACCCCGGCATCGGTACCTTTCGGTCCCCCCCCTCTGCGCAGCCCGAAGCTCTTCACCGCTGCGGCAGGGGCCCGCCGCGGGAGGGGTCGGGCAGGCCGCGCCCCGCAGGCGGCCCCCAGGGCGCGAGGTTTGTCTCGCAGCCTTGGAGGGCTGGGGGGGGGGTCCCCATGGGCCTCGTGAGGGGCCACCTGAGCTCCCCAGAACTCAGGAGGGGAACAACACACATACTTACCTAACAGCTTGTTCTGATAGGTTTCTAGTAGGGTCAAAAGAGAGCAGCAGATGACTCCACAGGGGGGTCTGGGCGGGTGCCGGACAGGGTGCCGCAGAAGTCGTTTTAAGCCAACAGTCACACACTTCGTGCTCTTCGACCTCCTAGGGAACTCCATTCCCGGGCCACATATTGGATGCCCGGAGCCAACTGTAGGCCACTTCGTGCTCTTCGACTTCCCAGAACTCCATTCCCGGGCCACATTTTGGATGCCCGGAGCCAACTGTAGGCCACATCGTGCTCTTCGATTTCCCAGAACTCCATTCCCGGGCCACATTTTGGATGCCCGGAGCCAACTGTAGGCCACTTCGTGCTCTTCAAGTTCCCAGAACTCCATTCCCCCCGGGCCGGAAATTGTATGCCCGAGCCAAACTGTAAGGCATCTCTTCGGCGGATCTTCGAGTTTTCCAGAAACTCATACCGCCCAGGCCAGATTTTGAATGCCCGGAGCCAACTGTAGGCCACTTCGTGTCTTCGAGTTCCCAGAACTCCATTCCTGGGCATGATTTTGAATGCCCGGAGCCAACTGTAGGCCACTTCGTGTTCTTCGATTTCCCAGAACTCCATTCCTGGGCCACATTTTGAATGCTGAGGCAGGCTGATGCTGCGGCCGAGGCAGGCTGAGGCTGAGGCAGGCTGAGGCTGAGGCCGAGGCTGAAGGACTGAGGCTGAGGCTGAAGCAGACTGAGGCTGAGGCTGAGGCAGGCTGAGGCTGAGGCAGAAGCAGGCTGGCTGAGGCAGGCTGAGGCTGAGGCTGAGGCTGAGGCAGGCTGAGGCTGAGGCAGGCTGAGGCTGAGGCTGAGGCAGGCTGAGGCTGTGGCTGTGACTGCGACTGCCGTTGCCACTGCGACTGTCATCGCGAATGCGACTACGACTGCGAGAACAGCAGAATTCTACAACTGGATTCTCATCCGAATCTTAAGGGGAATGCTTCCAGATATGCTCCTACACATCGATGTTAGGTTGCTTTGCCGGGATATTTTTTTTGGTCGGCGGGGCGAGAGCGAACCTCTTCCGCTAAAAGCTAGGCGGGCTACGCACAGCTTTGATTAGGGAGACAGGGCACAGGCAGGCGGGGCCTCAGGCGGCCGGAGTGGGCGGGGCCCGGGGTGCAGGCGGTGCCGAAGAGCTTGCGCAGGGGGGAAAACACAGTCGCAGGCACAATGAGTCGTCGATTGCCCAGAAGATCTGGGGACATATGGGAAGTGTGGGGGGGGAGACTGAACCCCAGAAGATGTGTGAAAGTACGGGGGATCCTGGGATTTCTGTGTGCATTGATCTGTGCGTCCCTGGGCCCCTGCAAGAACAGCGGACAGCTGGGGCCACCCCCGGGGGCGCTCCGGCTCCTGGAGGTCTCTTCAGAGGCCTCTGCAGAGGCTCCCCGCAGGGCGGACCTCTTCCGAGCCACGCGTCCGGCTCCTTTCGGAGCGGGCGACGCGGGGGCACTGCGAAAGGGGGGGGGGACGTCTGCTGCGCGCCGCCGGCGTCGGCCCCGCGGCCTGGGCCCTCCTCCCTCGGCGCGCGGGGGGGCGGCGCTTGGGCGCCGGGGGGGCGCCGGGCGAGGCGCCGGGGCTGGCTGCAGCTGCTGCGCCGCCCCCCGTGCCGTCGCCCCCCCCCTGTGTCGTCCCCGGCCCAGTCCTCGATTCCTCGAGGGCAAGTGGGGGAGCAAGAAGTGGCAGAAACATAAAGACTCGGAGGTCCGCGCGGATTTCTCGGATCGGCGCTGGGGCCCCCTGGCGGCGCCTCCGGCGCCGCCCCTGGCGCGCTCCGCGCGCCAGGGAGGGGGGTCCAGCGCCGATCCGAGAAATCCGCGCGGACCTCCGAGTTTTTTTTATGCTTATGTCACTTTTTCTTCCCCTAACAAGAGAACCTCTCACCCCAAGAGCACAGTGAGGACGTGGCCTCATGTAGGTCCCCAGCTTCGCTGCAGGGTTTTTGTTTACATCTGGGCCGATGCATCTGCAGACGAGACCCCCTCTATCCCTGATGTTCCTGGCCCTGCTAACTTAGGTTCCCTCCCAAAGTATTAGGGGTACTTCTATTGCTTATCATTCAGGGCCCCCAGTCGAAGAAAAGCAAAACGCCATAAACATACATTTTTGGCGCTTCGCGCGGATTTCTTGGATCCGCGCTGGGCCCCCCCTGGCGGCGCCTCTGGCGCCGCCCCTGGCGCGCTCCGCGCGCCAGGGTGCGGGTCCAGCGCGGATCCAAGAAATCCGCGCGGACCGGCGACAGTTAGTGCTCATGCGGCCTGTTGTTCCTCTACTCAAGGCCAGGACATTGCTGACCAGGCCTCCGAAGCCTTCCGCCCGGGGGGAACGCAGCGTCGGTGTGTCAAAGTCTCCGCCTGGTGGGCCCTGGATTCAGCCACGCCCAGAGGGGGGTGGGGGGAGGGGGGAGGGCTTCTTAGAAGCACCCTGCTTCTTAGAAGGCGCGGGCCTTCTCTATAGATGCAAGGCTGGCGCCTTCTAAGAAGCAGCCTCCTCCTAAGAAGCCCTCCCCCCTCCCCCTGCCCCCTTGTGCGCGCCGCCAATGGATGCTCCCCCCCCTCAGGAGGTGCCGAGGAGCAGGCCGCGGCTCGCGCCCGCGGCTCCCGACGGCCCGGAGGCCATGCGCGCGGCGGTGCGGTCGGGGGAGGTGGACCGCCTCACCGCGACCGCGCTGCGCGACTGGCTGAAGGCCCAGGCCGCGGCGGCGTGCCCAACCCGCCGTGGGCGTGCGCACTCCGACGACGACGACGACGTCGTCTGGCCTCCGGAGCGCTCCTATAGGGGGCCCTCGTCGCCACGGCCGGACGCCGCCCGCAGGGCCGGCCGCGGGGTGCCCAGCGGGAGGCGTCGGGGGACCGCCCCTGGGCGGGCCGCGGGCCCGCGGGGGCGAGGCGGGAGGGGCGTGGCGCTGCCGAGCCTTGGCGTAAAGATTTTCGGCGCTCCCTGCACCAGGGGATCGCCTGCACCGGCAAGAAGGCAGACCTCCTGGAGCGCGTGAGGGCGCTCTTCTGAGAGGCTCGCGCGCGCCACAGGCGGCGCCGCCGCACGGCCGGGGCCGCAGCCCAGAGAGAGTCCCGGCAGGGCCTCGTGGACGGCGCAGGGGGTTCGAGGGGGGACGTTGGAGGATCTTTCAGGGTCGCCGCCGTGTCGGCGGTGTGCCACCTTGGACATCTCAGACATCCAGGTCTCGAGAGTCGCATGGCGGGGGTGGGATGTCGGAGCCGAGTGGAAGTTGTCAGCACGTGGGTCGGCCCGGCGCAGGTGTCCAATCGGGGGAGTGGGAGCGGGAGCGGCAGTGGTTCTGCGCATGCCTGTGGGAGTCCATAGGTCATCGCGGACAGGCATGTGTTGGTGCAGAGAGGTCGTGCGCCAGCGAAATGCAGCGCCCTCATGGAGACCATCATTCTTGCGTGTACCACGTGCATGTTCTCTCTTGGTGTCCTCTCTTCCCCAGACGTCCGCGTCTTCCAGCTGCGGCTTTTACTCGCGGTCGGAGTTGAGTTCTCAGCGCATTCCAGTTGACCATCCACGCTGGAGGCTGATGGCCCTGATCAATCTTCCATGCTCGATTATCCCGCTTGGCCGCCAGCAGTGCGGAGGTCGTGCTTCATCTTCGGCTTATCCCCCTCCTGCTGCTGCTACTTCTTTTTGTCCCTCCTCCGCTTCATCCTCTCCAGTTTTCCCTGTAGGGCGACGTGGGACTCTCTGCAGGCGACGCCGAGGGACCCAGGCTCTCCCGAGGAGGGGCAGGAATCGAAGGAGGAGGAGGAGAACAATGAGGAGGAGGAGAAAGATGATGATGATGCTGATGATGATGATGATGATGATGCTGATGATGCTGCTGCTGATGATGATGATGATGCTGATGCTGATGCTGATGCTGATGATGATGATGCTGATGATGATGATGCTGATGCTGATGATGATGATGATGATGATGATGATGATGGTGATGGTGATGGTGATGGTGATGATGATGATG